CTCTCTCTCTCTCTCTCTCTCTCTCTCTCTCTCTCTCTCTCTCTCTCTCTCTCTCTCTCTCTCTCTCTCTCTCTCTCTCTCTGGCTTGAGATGCAGGAGGTGAGTGGCAGTGATTTTTAAAATTGCATCAACTTACTGAAATAGCAGTATAACTTGTATAAGATTGTTTTGTCATCTTTTTTTGCCCCCTCTTTTCGTTTTATTTTTTAAGAGCACAGGCCTGCTTTGAGAACTAAAAATTTGGACCATTTCTCGATTTATGCGTGTCATCCTCCTTGAGCAGGGGCCATGCTAATCTTCTCTGTATAGTTATTTTTAATGGATGTCCCGAAGGACTCTTGTACCCTCTTCTTGTTTCAATTCCAGTAAAGTGTAATCAAGTTTTCGACAGTGAGTTTGTCGAAATTTGAGCCAGCCTTTTCAGCAGGGTGCTAAATTTGGTTGTGTCCTAAGAGATTGACTATAGGGTTATAGGCGTATCAAACCTGTGTTCAGTTTCGACTCCAGGGTTATAGGCGGTATTCAAACCTGTGTTCATTTCCTCGGGGGTCCGCTCTTTAAACTCTCTTTCTCTTCACGTGTGTGCGATACTGTGTATAGATACGAATTCCTTTTTAAATGCAGATGTCGAATGCTCTGCTTTTTTTCTGAGTCCGGGACGTTGAACTATTGGCGTTCATGTTTCTTTTGAAGTCATGTTATGCCTGCTCACACGAGTGGTTCTGGATTCAAACTTGGGTCGGCTTTTCAACATTTCATTGGTGTACCAACTGATGCTCCTCTGAACAGAACATGGCAGAGATCACAAGGTCTTATTTTGTCTTTGTTCTTTTGTTCTGTAATTATCATGTTTACTCATTTTCGACTCCATTGCTTTTTTTTTTTTTACTTCTGCGTATAAATCTGTTGAGAACAGCACTCCAGGGCTTTGTTGCAAGCAGGAGGGGCTGTGAACTATGCGTCCGCGGTCCCAACTTCCAGTAATACATCGGCGAATGCCAGTGATGCTGGGGTAAAACCACCGCCGCCGACGGTGATAACCAACTCCAACTCCGGACTGCCGGCAGCATTGACGACACCAGAAGTAGCGACACCGTTGTTTGATCCCTCGATCTGCCGAGAGCAAGTATCTTATGAATGTCGAGGATATCCCGGACAAGCCAATGTGACCGAACCGTGCATTTGCAGTTGCAGGCAAGGATGGGAAGGCATCGACTGTGGGGTTTGTGTTGAAGACAGTGCCTGCAGCAGTGTGAGTTTTCTGTTCTTTTTCTTTTCTTTTCTTTTTCTTTTCTTTACTTTTTGGATGTGTTTTTCCTGCATTTTTTCAGTTTTCTGTTCTGAATTAATGGCCGTCATTTTTTCAGTTTTCTGTTCTGAATAAATGACCGTCTCAAATTCTTCTTTCTGTTCTCTTAACCTTTTTTGTTTCTTTTTCTTTTATTTTCTTTTTCCTTTTTTTTCTTCATTTTTTCAGTTTTCTCTTCTGAACAAATGACCACGTCAAATTTTTGTCTTAAACCACTAGTGCCTTTGGCGCGTGGGAAAATAGCAGGCCTCGGTTGGGCCTCCGACCTTTGGGGAGGCCGAAACGAAACGACGGCCGCCGATCAGATTTATCAATGGCAGGCGTCGTCGGGCCCGACCTCCAAAACGTAAGGAAAACGTCCACTTTTCCCTATTTTCCCACGCGCCAAAGGTACTAGGGCTTTAACCTTTTTTGTTCTTTTCTTTTTCTTTTTTTTTTCCTTCATTTTTTCAGTTTTCTGTTCTGAACAAATGACCTGCTCAAATTCTTCTTTCTGTTGTCTTAACCTTTTTTTTTTTTTTTTCATTTCTCCAAAAGACAAATGAAATTTGGATCCCATTGTTCTCGATTGGCGGGTCCTGTCAGCGGGTGGAGTGCTGTGGTTTTCCTGTTCTTGCCCATATAAGATCTGTCAGTTATTTCTCTCCTCTTCCTCCTCTTTCTGCTCTCCCCCCTAGTCTCCCTACCTGGTGTATGTTTGAGTTTGTTTCAGCGATGTCATTCCCCGAGTCAATCTCCAATGTAGACCTGGATCAAGAAGGGTAGACAAATCGCCTACCATCTTCACCCGAATAGAGCGCCCGATGCTTATGGCTGCATTTGGGGCAGTCGTCAGTCCACCGGGCCTTCTATTCGAGTGAAGACGGTCGTGCCCGCGGTGAGGCTTGATGGCAGGATGCGGTGCTGAGAGGGAGATGATGGGTTTTACGGTTTTTTACCAACTTTTACGTTCTGGTGGGGCAATGAGGGTGAGAGTCGATGTGGCAAGGCATTCTCACGCGCACCCGCAGGCCTGTCTTCGACCCAATCAAAATCCTTACCTCTAGGACGGATTCCCTAAAACCCTCGATCCCACACCCTAAACCCTAAACCCCAAACCTGGTCTGACTGTTAAAGCACCAGTACACCACACATCGGCCCACGGGTGTCAGCACGAAACCCGCACAACTTCGGGGGCCGCTGATTTTTTTTTTCAACGGCGCCCCACGACGCGCGGCCCCTCCGAGTTTTGCTTGTGGCGACAAAAGCTTTCTGCAAGGCTGGGGCAGTGTACTTGCGGTTTAAGGGGTGAGGGTGGAGGTCTAGTCTAACTGTTGTTAAGGGTTCATGTTGAAGGCCTAGTTTAACTGCTAAGGATTCAGAGTTTAGCACCGATTGCCTAAACCCGAACGCCCACGTCGTGAGCCTTAAGTGTGACTGTTAAGTCACCAGGGTTTATAAACTTTTTATGCAGTGTAAATGGATGCTGTTAAGGGACCAGTACATGCCCAGCCATCGGCCGCGGACCCCTTTCAGAGACCGCCCGCCCCCGATGTATTTTGTCGACGGCGTGCGAGCCTCCGAAATTTTAGAAGCGGCTGTCAGTCGGATTGTCGACTTCGCTGGGGCCATCTACTGGTGGTTTAAACCGCCAGTACACGGCCCCAGCCTTGCTGAAAAAGAAACTCGTTGCCTATGAAAATTTCGGAGGCTCGGCCTACCGGACCAGGATGACTGGCGGCGCCCACCAAAAAAGAAGAAAAGTGCGCTGCGGGCGGTTTGGAAAAGCTCGGCGCGCAGTAAGGCGCGCCTGCAGGCCCTTGTGTACTGGTGGTTTAAGGACCAAGAGTTTGGGCGCAGTCTAACTGATGAGGATTCAGAGCTTAGGAACTTTAGGGATTAGGTTCGATTAACCATAAACCATATGTTGCAAGTGCCGTGCTATAGTAGCGGCTATACTCATTTCCGTCTGTCTGGCTTTGGCTGGGTGGGTGGGGAGGCAGCGCATGGATAGGTTAGCCCATTTAACGAGAAGCAGCTTGATCCGTTTCCAGTTTTTTGTTCCAACTTCTGATTGATCATGTCTTTTTTAAGCCGATGGCGGATGCGTTGAGTTACCCCATTCAAGCAGTCGGCTATGGTGCTGTTATGCTTCTTCAAAATTCTGCTTCCTTTAAGACAGCACCTGGTGCGATCTTTTTTTTTTTTTTTTTTTTTTTTTTTTTTTTTTTTTTTTTTTTTTTTTATCTATTTTTTTCTGTTTATCTGTTTGTTTCTGTGTGTGTGTGTGTGTGCTGTCTCTTATACACATCTAGATGTGTATAAGAGACAGATGTGAATATGAGTATGCCCTAAGTGTGCCATTAAAGGCATACAGGGATGTGAGAAGCTGGCAATAAACTAACAATCAACGTGGCTAGCCTTGTACGCGGTAAAAAGGGGAGCTGCAAGAACAAATAGAAGGGGATATTCCAAAAAAGGCCAAAGTAAAGATAGTTAAGGAAGCGATACAATGGATCTATTGTGGCCCATGTTTGTTTGTTTGTTTGTTTGTCAAACTGGGGACGGGTTGTTTCCGCTGCGTAGACTGCCTAGAAACGCCGTTTAGAGAAAGTGTCTTGTGACGAGAGCCTGGCCTATCGTCCACCTAGGAACATAATTAGTGGTAGAGTGTGTTCTTGATGTAATTTTTTGACTTGCAGGTAGTGTGAGGTATATTGAGATAATAATATAGCTTATTAAACACTTCAGAAAAAAAAAAAAAAGGAGCCGCACTGATGCTCGCCAGAATGAATATGGAGGGGTGCTGATGATGTCAACACGGGGCAGTCACAGACCACAACGCATGGTTCGCAAAGTGAACAGCGCAATCAGCACAACAAGAATGGATACGGAGCCTGAACCGTAAGATTCTGTTTTTTTTTTGTTTTTTGTTTTTTTTTTTATAAAAGTGTAGTGGTCGTTAACATGCATTTTTGGAGGGACTGTGGACCACTTCCATCTTCAGGTAGTTAGAGATTTTTATTTTATTTTTTTCCAAGTAGTTAGAGATTTGATACCTGGAGCTGCTACCGATTAATAAAAAAAGAAAGACCAATGACTTAGAGATCTGGGGTGCATTTTTTTATTATTATTTTTTTTTTTAAGAAAAGGGCAGTGGCCTTTAACTGACCAGCCCCAGGTAAATTCGGAGTTGTGTTTCACTTGTCTGATTCCACTGAAATTCGAACTCAGGTCTGTATTCCGACAATGCATGGGTGTACCAACTGAGCTAGGTCTGTTGGTTGAGGCCCTAGTTGCACTACTCGCCATTCGCCACAATTCGTGGCGGATGGGTGGAGAGCAGTCTGACATATTTTTTATTCGCCAAGTTTGGCGAGTAAGTGCAACCAGACGCCACTCGACAAACTTCGCGTATGGAGAGTAGTGCAACCAGCCCCTGATACCTCTGGATTCTATGTGGGAGAAAATGTCAGCTCTTGTCATCCTGGACCTCCAGCGTCCATATCCTCCGAGAGTCTTAAGCCGGCAGTACATGGCCACAAACAGCCTTGTAGAAATTTGTTTGTCGCCTACTCCAAAAAAATTGTGGCACGGGCCTGCCAGGCCACAATGGCTGGCGGCTATGTTGCACGCCCGGCCGCGGCCGGGGGGGTCTAGTCGGCCGTCGGCCAAATTGGCCGAGTTCAGTGCAACATTGTTTTTTGCACTTTTTCACGTCGAAAAAAATAAAATAAAATATGGGCGTGTAGGGCTGGAAAAGCCCTACACGCCCATATATTTTTTTTTTCATGTTCGACATTCTGTGCCGCGCGGAAATAAAAAAAAAAGGAACCAAAAAAAAAACAAAAAAAAACAAAAAGGCCCGCGGCCCCACGGGGCCTTTTCGGCCCTGTTACTGGGTGTGGGGGGGCGGTGGGTCCAGGCCCGGGCCACGGCAAATCTGTTGCCGTTTCAGATAAATGCTGCCATTTATCTGAAACGGCAACAGTTGTTGCTGTTGCCGTTAGGCTGCCGCCCTGCCTGCTCGCATGCTCTGAGAGAGAGAGAGAGAGAGAGAGAGAGAGAGAGAGAGAGAGAGAGAGAGAGAGATGAGTGATACAAGATTGGGTTACTACCTGCTGCGCTGAAGATATCGCTACGGCGAGAGAGAGAGAGAGAGAGAGA